CACTTCCTCTATGCATGCAAGTTCTGATGCTATCTATAGTGTTCCAATCAAGTCAGCCTGCAAGGCCCTTGAACTGAATCAAAATCTGATTATATAAACTGAGAAGTTTTTCCTTCACTCTTTTCTTAGATCAAATAAAGCCACCATTTCATCCATTGATACTAAAGAGATAATATAAATGCCAAGGAACACAAGAATAAATAGATAATTTTCCATAATTTGTTACCAAGGCAAAAATACTACTGCATTCATTATGGTTTTAATTCTACAAAAGTTTCCACCAATACCATAGATGAGTTGCATATGCTACAGGAAGCTTGATTTGGGTAACATTCAGTAAAGATTATAAATAGTGAATTACAGAGTTATAAATGAATTTATAATTATTTTTAATGAAATTATAACAATCTTCAGACTCTTCTGTGCACACAGAAAACTCATAAATTGTTAATACTTCTTTGTAAATATTTTTGTTTACTTTACTTAGTTCCTTGACCTCTCCTTTTATCTACCAATCAGCTTCTCCTGCTGATATTTCCAGTGCAACTTCTTTTGTCATCTATTGCAGCCGTAAGATCCCAAGGGAACTGTTTGTATGTTTGTCTGAAAAAGGCACAACATCTTCCCATAGGGGATCTGCACCAGCTGTAGTAATATCATCAGGGAAAGCACATTTTATTACACTCACCGAGGTTAAAAAAATGTGACATTAGGGCATTCTCAATTATAACATGTGGCTTATTTAATTAGATACATGGGTACTGTGAGAATTCCCCCAATGAAATACATCTGAGAAAATTATTACACACACAACATGAAGTGCTTGAGAATTTTAATCTACAGAAACCAGCTTCAAAACCTCCAAATGCAACACACACTTACTCTAGCTCAAATTGCATGTTTTGTTTTTTTGGCTAATTTAGCTTGTGGAAGGAAGCAAAAAAAGAAAATGACTTTTTCCTCTGAAAAAAATAATCAACAGTATTTATATTAGAAAAGAATTCTTTAAGACATCAACAATGCTTGTTTGCAAAATCTTGTCACATATTTTGCTTCCTCTTTTTTTTTTTTTTTTACCCCTTAAGATTAAGGGGTAGCCCCATTATTTTTAGATAATCTCATGAAAAAAAAAGAGTGAGTAAAGAAGAATAAAGTGATATAACCCCTTGCATTTCTAAAAATACCCATGGTAAAAATATTCCATGACCCTGCAATAACATTTTCCTTTGCACATCTTGCTTCTTTATTTCTACATTTTTCTCAGTGGCAAAGGTCAGTTCTTTATGACAATCCCTATTTTCCATCTTGAAATAAAGTCTCACGGTAGAAATGGCAGGTTTATTCTGCTGAATTTCTCTTTTCTTCAAACTCATTTCAGAAATTGTTTCGTTGACTGTGGACTCCAAATTATGGTACAAATGACAGGCCCTAAAGGCTCAGGAAGGGCTGTGTGCTATGTCCAAGCAGAGGTGTGGATTTTTTCTTTTTTTTCCTGTTGCCCAGGGAAATCACACCTTGTTTCTCCAGTCTGGAGGAGAGTGAAGGATCGCATCATCCTTGTTCCTTAGCAGTCGCATACGCATTTCTCAGGTCTGGTTGTGACGCAGGCAAAGTCTACATAAGTGACCAGTGCAGCTCCACAGGAGCAAGTCCATACAGACAAGCATTTGATGCTAAGATTATGACATTCATATGTTATAAATTTTAGGAGTTTTTAAATTAGGCTCGCATTAATCTGCTTGAACATCAGTTAGCACTAGCAGTTGAAACGCACCCTGTCAGTGCACCTTCTGACTTCAGTCCCCTGCAAGGAACCCAGGACTGTGAGACTGCTCTGCAGTGGAAACCAGAGCATGGCTAAGTGGCAACATTTAGAGATTCAGTTCTGATCTTAATTTAAATGCTATCAAATATGTATCCACATCTTCTAACAAAACAAGCCCATGACTTGGCACAGGAAAGGAGACTATGCTTTGATCTCTGGGGAAATTGAAAAGAATGCCAGGCATGGATTTACCAATGCTTTATTTTTAACTCATGTAGCAAATAAGGTAATTTCAGAGACTTTATCCCTAACAAATACAACCATTTTAAAAATTTGTATTTTATTCAGGTAACGTGAAAGCATGATGTTGCAGATATTTAGAATGGGCACATCACTTATGGCTTTTGTGTACACTACTGTAAAACTAAGAAACTACTCTCTTAGGAAAATGTGTTTTGCCTTGCATAGTACCTTTTACCTTGGAGATAGTCCTCTCATAACTTCATGTTGCTAAAGTAATCCTTTCTTATTGTATCTTAACAGCATTCAGCATAACAGAAAAAGAAGCAGTAAATTTTCAGTGAGAGCTTTTTTAATTAAGGTTAAAAAACTTGGAAGAACCCTCCACATTCATGCGCCTGTGGAGCAGTAAGTCATGGCATTAACGTGGCGCTGCTGTGTTTTTCTCCACCATTTGTCAGTTTATTCAGAGAAATCTAAAAACGTCACAGGAAATCTGACAGGAGACTAAGATCACAAGAATCAGTTCCTTCATGAAAGCCTGCGCTTTGAAGTAAGAGAAAGACAGTATCAACACCAAAGCCAAAGTACCTCTTAGAGCAAAATCAGCTTCAAAACTCTACAGAAAATAGCTAAAGTAACACAAGTCTAAACTAATCTACCACAGGCATACATGCAAACCACTGAAGATTTAATCAGTTAAAGAACAACAACAAAAAAATTATTCAAATTAGCAATAATTAATAATGACAGGTTTCATTTCTTGGCAGAATATTCCTGCCTAATTTATTATTTAAAATAACCCATATCAAGCAGTTTTATGAAGGGCCGTAACAACAGCTTAAATATGACATGAGCACAGCAGAGGGCAGGAAAGTGAAAAAAAAAGATAAAAATAAACATGAAAAGAATGTTGCTCAATGGAGCTTGTGCCCTATGTTTACAGTATCCGAGAATTTTTCTTTCACCAAAACAGGAAATGTTTTAATACTCGTTAAAAAAAAAAAAAAAGGCGTGTTCATTTTACTGAAATCAGGCGTCCGACCGCGGCCTGCCGTAACGCGCCCTCCCCGCCCCGCCCCGGCCGCCGTAACACCTCCCTCCCGCCCCCTCTCC